TCTTAAAAGAATTCTTAAAGGAACAACTAACTTTCAAAAACGGCCACTAGGAGCAAACACCTGGCTCAGTGACTAAGTCACAGCTTGGGATGTGCATATCCCACATGAAAGTGCCTGGTTCAAATCCCAACTGCTCTGCTTCCAATTCAGTTTCCTGCTGATATACACCCTGGGAAGCAGCAGGAGATAGTTTAAACATTTAGGTACCTGCCACCTCCAGTGGAAATCCACACTGAGTTCCAGAGGGGCCTGACTCAGCCCTGGCTGTTGCAGGCATTTGAAGAATAAACCAGCAGGTTGAAGCCTACTCACTCAAACTCTCTCACTCTTTTTCTACCTTTCAAATGAAATAAAAATACATAAACAAAATTTTTAAGTCACTAAGCAATCACTACAGATGCAGTCGCTGTGGCTCAACAGTGTCTTCTAATCCTCTGCCTTCAAGCATCAGCACCCGGGGGGCACCAGTTCGGGTCCCAGATGCTTTGCTCCCTGCTTATTAGCCTGGGAAAGCAGAAGATGGTGCAAGTCCTTGGGTGCCTGTACCCACAGAGGAGAACAGAAGAAGATTCTGGCTCCTGGCTTCGGGTCAGCTCAGCTCCAGCCATTGCAACCATTTGGGGAATCAACTAGTGGATGGAAGGTTGTTCCCTCTCTGTAAATCTGCCTTTCAAGCAAAAAAAAAAAAAAAAAAAAACATTAAAAAAGTCACTCAAAGCCTCTGGAGCCCTATCTGAGGAATGCAGTTAGGTTACACCAAGGGAGGAAATCTTTGAGGAAGAAAAAAAAGCTCTCAATTAAGTGTTTAAGTACATACTAAGTGCCTCTACCACAAAACACAATTTTTCATCTTTAGCCTCCTACACCTAAGGGTATAAAGAAAGGATTTCTCACATGAACTTATGTTCTGAAACTATTCATTCACTAGCTAATTGCAAACCTTTCAAAAGTCTGAGTGGGTCATGCTTAAATACAGATTCCATGGAAGCAAAAGCGGCCAAAAGCTAAACAATGACCCATCTGACATGGTCAAGGAACTGACAGGGGCTATAGTAGGAACTCAGGTCAAAGATTTGCGAGTTATGCAGGCTTAGTTAATTCTTTGTTTACTCTTTCAGATGAACAAATTAAAATATAACACATTGGGCTTCCTTTTTTTTAAGATTTATTTTTTCTTGGAAAGGCAGGTGTACAGAGAGAAGGCGACACAGAGAGAAAGATCTTGCATCTGCTGATTCAATCCCCAAGTGACCACAATAGCCAGAGCTGAGTCAATCCGAAGCCAGGAGCCTGGAGCTACTTCCAGGTCTCCCATGCAGGTGCAGGGTCCCAAGGTTTTGGGCCATCCTCAACTACCCTCCCAGGCCACAAGCAGGAAGCTAGATGGGAAGTGGGGCTGCCGGGATAGAACCAGCACCCATATGGGATCCCGTTGCGTTCAAGGTGAGGACTTTAGCCACTAGGCCACGCCGCCGGGCCCCATACATGGGCTTTCTTTGAGCAAGTCTTTGGCTGATGGTGGTTGGGATAGGGATAGTTCAATACTTCTGGAATGAATGTTATATAGTAAACTAGAATTGTAAACATTATATCCACTTTTAGAATCAATATAACTTAAACAAAGATCATAACAGATGAGGAAATAATAGCAGAAATATTCTCTATTCTAGAATATATACCTTAGAACAGAAGTTCTTGGAATCAACTTGGTGGCACAGTGGGTTTAGCCATCAGTTGGAATGCCAGCATCCCATGTTGGAGGGACAGTTCAAGTCCTGATGGCTCTGCTTCCACCCGGCCTCCTGCTACTGTATCTGGGAAGTATCTGGATCCTAGTGGGACACCAGGATGGAGTTCTTGGTTCCTGGCTTTGGACAGATCCAGACCTGGCTGCTGCAGTCATCTTGGAAGTAAGCCAACAGAGACATACAGAAAAAGATCTTTCTATCCATCTAGCATTTCATCCATCCATTATGGTTCACTGGTTCACTCCCCAAGAGCCTAGCCTGCACAGGGCTGGGCTAGGTCAAAGCTAGGACAAAGCTGAGTCTCCCACATGGGTGGCAGAGAGCCATGTACTTGAATCATCTTCTGCCATCTCCCAAGGCACATACTAGCAGGGAGCTGGATGGCAGAGGAATGACTAGGACTTGAACCAAGCATTTTGATGCAGGGGTCCCTGATGAACACATTTTTGATCAACAGGAGTAGGTAAGTGCTACTACTGGTATCTTGTGGGCAGAGGATAGGAACATGGATAAATATCATGTGGTCTCCCCCAATTCCCAAAATGAGACACTGCCCTAGAAGCAGGTTGAAGAACCATGGAACCCATGTTTTGAAACAATCAACTTGATTGTACAAATCCTAAATCAACTGAGTCTGTTTAGGAACACCAACAACTCACCTACTATCATGGGTAGCATCATAATGTACAAATTTCAAACTGTTGAGGTCAGCACGATGGCAGGCTAATCCTCCTCATCAGCATTCCACATGGATGCCGGTTGTGTCCCAGTTCCTCCACTTCTGATCCAGCTCCCAGCTTATGAGAGAGCAGTGGAGGATGGCTCAAGTCCTTGGGCCCCTGTACCCACAAGAGAGACCCAAAAGGCTGGCTCCTGGCTTCAGATGGGCTCATCTCCAGCTCAGCTCCCCATGGTGGGAATGTACTACCTCTATCTCTCCTTCTCTCTGTAAATCTTCCTTTCAAATAAAAATAAGTAAATCTTTAAAATATTTTTCCAAAGTGTTATTTAAAAGAAAACTAATAATTGGATTTCAAAACTTGTCTAAATCTTAGACAAATTTTCCAAAATTCACAGGCAAAAATACACACACACACACACACACACAACAAATTAAAATGAGGGAAAAAGATTTTACATTCACATGTCTTTCGACTCTCAGAAACAATATCAAATGGCTGAAACCAATCAGGAAAAAAAATCACATTTTGCGTGATTCCATTAATGTAAAAATCAAAAATCACCAAGAAATGACCACTAGAAGTCAGAAAAGTACTCTTTTGGAGAGAACAGAAAGGCAGAGAGAAACGAGAACATAAGGAAGCCTTCAGATGTTGATAATGTTGTATCTCTTCATCTGGGCAGCAGTTGCAAAACTGTTTACTTCATGACAATTCATCCAGCTGGATTTTAACAATCTGTGCACTTCACACAGGTGCTCTGCTTCTTGATATTATACATTGCAATCCTAAAAACCTGAACATTTTGACCCCAAAGGCTAAATTAACACCAAAGACAGAAGTCAAAGTGTTTCGTTCCACAGGCTGTATTCCAAGAACTCAAGAATGATGACACCCCCAGAAGGCTGTAAATAGCAGAGTCAGCACTCACACAGCCTGCACGCTGCACACTTAAGCCTCTGTATATCCCTCGGCATCAATCCAGAAATTTGACAAATGCTAACAAGTGTAGTCAAATCTATTCTGTGGACAGTATTCGTGCCTTCATTTTGCAAATGTTACAGTGTCAACTGTTACCAGAGAACTGGCTGTCTGAAGTAAGTCATGCTTTCTCTTTCCTAATCCCACATGTTCTCCCCTAAATCAAAACCTTCTTGTCCTCCTTCCCAACTCCATAGAATTCTTCGGGGCTGTTTCTAAAATAGTGCCCACCAAAGCCTCCTGCCCCCCATATCTGACCCTCCCACTCCACCTCTCACAGTAGGAAAACTCACTTTAATGTTCCTTCTAGGGGAGCCTCCTCCCTAATCAGACCTTGCCTCCATCCCCACACCCCAGGGACCCACCAACAAGACACAAAACTTCATCACCCTTAACTCCCTACCCACAAAAAAACAGTATCTTTGCAACCCTCTTCTACCACACCCACAACCCTCGTTTCTGCAAACTTGGCCTCCCCACTCCATAGGGCTATTAACTCCAACTCCTCTCTTCCCTTGAGCCCCCTCGACCCCTTCCATTTCTCATCACCTTCTCCCCTAACTTCTGCTTTCCTCTTCATGAATCCTTCCTGAGTCCCACAGGCAGAGGTAGATGAGGAAGGACAGGAAGGTAGTGGGGGAAAGCTTGCTCCAGTCTTCAGCAATCCCCCCGGGCAGGGGCTCCAGGGCCAGCCCCACCAACGCTAAAACCCAAGCCGTGCACAAGCTCGGGTCTCGGCCACTGGCCAACTGGAGGCGGCAGCCACGGCCACCGGCCGGAGTTACAAGGGCTCGCGGCACTCGCAGCCGTGGAGCGCTGGGCACTGAGGCAACACGCTCAGCTCTCGGTGACACTTTGGCTTAGATCCTCATTGGGAAAACAGGAAAGGCGGGAGAGGGTGAAAGGCATTTTATAAGTCTCTTTAATGCTAAGATTCCTTCAAAGTCTCCCCCTCGGGAGGCTAAGAGAGAGTTGGAGATAGAAGAAGGAGGGGTCTAAAGAGATGTGGGTGACATCAAGAACTTTGCCACACCGAGTTCCCCTCTCGTCGCCCCGCAAGAATGAGGGAACGCCGTGAGCATACCCACCAGATCCTCCTTCCACAGGAGGAAAGGGAGTAGGGAAAGTCCCCTTAGTTAATAAGGTGAGCTTGTTGGTGGAGCCGGAGGGGAGAGGGTGATGGTCTCCGAATTAAGAAGTGCATCCCTAAAGTCCCAAAGGCACGTCTCTGAGAGCCTGAGGGGTGGACTTCATCAAAGTAAAACGCCCGCAGCGCCCGGTTCCCCCGGGCGCCCTCGCAGCAAGGGGCGAAGGCAGCGTCCACGCCAGGGACTCCCCGGCGGGCTCTGGGGGGGAGCCGGGTGTCCCCCGGCCGTCTCGCACGCCCCTGCCCGGTACTCGCGGGATCTCCCAGGGGCTCGGCCATCCCTGGACCCCTCCCTTAACAAGCCATCACACACCCCCGACCCCCACAGCCGTCCTCAGCCCCCCGCCACTTCGCCGCGGCTGCCGGCTCGCGCCTGGGTCAGCTCCGAGCTCACGGGGCTCTCGGCGCCGGCCTCTCCGGTGTCTCCCGGGGCCGCAAGCCTACCTGCTGAGACGGCAGCTCCACATGCAGGGCCCGCGCGGCGGAACCGGGCGGCAGCGCGGTGGCCGGGCCCGGGGGCGGCGGGGGGACCGGGCCCCCGAGCGGCGCTGAAGCGCTCATCTCGATCCGGGAGCCGCCAAGCGGCGGGGCACGCGCTCCTCCGGCATCCGCCCCTGCCTCCTAGCCACGAGCTGTCGCTGCCCTGCAGCCCAGAAACCCGCCGCCAGAGATGCTGGTCGGCCCCCGGCTCCCCGCTGGCCGCCGCGGCTGGCTAAGGAAGAGCCATATTACCGCAGTGCAATCCCTCCACCCGGCAGAGACCCGGGCCTCTCATTGGTTCGTTTCTTGTGGGGGCGGGACCCAACAACGGCCTCGGGACGTACTATTGGGTAGTAGATCTGTCCGTCGTCAGCCGTAATGGACTGGGGGCGGAGGAACTTCAGGATGGCCTCAATTACGTCTGTCAAATCGGGGTGAAACCTGGGGCGTTGCTTCTCTCTGTCGTAACCTAATTGGCTGTTTCATGATCACGGGGCGGAGTCTTCTAGCGCAGTCGCAAGGACCATTGCTCTAGAACACCGTCAATTGTCAGTAAAGGGCTAGAGGGGCGGGGTCCCGATTAGGCCGAGTGCGCGCCGGGGCTCCGATGTCACGTGCGGAAGGCTAGCGAGTCACCTGATTAGTGAGAATGGGTCTCGGGAGCCACTTCCGCCCTAACCTCGTTGCTGTGGTAACCGGCGGCTCCGGTGGAAGGTTCCCTGAGCAGCCGGTTCCCGAGGTGTCCCCCATCAAGGTGCGGGTGTGGAAAAGGCATGATTCAGGTCCTGGGACGAGAAGCCCGGCGGGCCTCGGGACCAGCTCTGCCACGACTCACCCCGCCCCACACGTCGGGGCCCCGCCACGCCGTCCACTAACGCGGACGCTGAGCTGTAAGGGGCGCCCGGAGCGATGGCTCACCTGCCCGAGTGGGGTCTTGCTGCTGACTCCAGCAAAGCCTTTGCTACTTTCTTCCTGCTTGCTAACTGCCTCCTTGCCAATCCAGTCCCAGCGGGGGCGGGACTCCCACCTTCGGAAGACTTTGCCTGGGACCCTGACTCGGGAACCTTGCCTCTTGCTGCAGAGCCAATTATTAACGTAGCAATTAATTACGGTTATTACCGTAAAGTCTCCTTCCCCAGTTACCTCTTTGCCTCCCACGGGTCCTCATCCCCTCCCTGCCCCTCATCTCACCCTCCCTCGCCTTCCCCCTATCCCCCCACCCCCACAAACACATACTTGTAAATTCCTCAGGCAAAACGACCTTGTCTGATTCATCTCTGAATTCCTGGTGCCAGACGGCGAATCAAGAAGCTTGTGTTGTGCGTTGTGTTTTAAGCCAAGGTCCAAACTCAAATGCCTCCTCTTCCATGAGGGCGGCTTTGAACCTAATGATAGAGTCTAGAGATTGCTTCTATAATAAACAGCACTGAGTCATCCTGCGGATATTGATCTGCCTTCTCCAATAGACTGTCCGTTTCCTCTACCAGCCTAGTGGCAGAGGTAGCAGGAAGAACGCAGATACATCAGGCTCTTTCTGGATCTTGGCTTTAGCCAAGTCTGCTGGCTCTGAGTCCCTGGCCAAGTCAGCTCCTACTCAGCTTTTATTTTTCCATCTGTAAAAGTGGGGTGAAGTCCACATGCATCAAGTGCCTGGGTTGGACCTGCCATATAACAGTGGCATTTTATAACCTTTAATAAAAGGTTAACATACTTTCTGTGGTGTTCATCAGCCTGAGAAACAGGGCAGCTCTCATCTCCCAGCAGGATTACCGGCAGACTTCACACTGTTTCCTGAAACGTTGAGTGGTTCCACCTGGCTGGGAGCCTGGAGTATGTGGGCAGGTGCTACTTGAGAGGGAATAAGGGAAAGTCCCAAATTTCCTCTGGTTCAACTCAGGTAGTGCCAAGATCTGGTGGAATTTCATAGGAAAACACATTCTGTTTCTAGGCTGGGTTAATTTCCCCCAGCAAGACTCCAATTACAAATGGCCAGGCGCTGGGTCGTTGAAAACAGCAGGAGGCCAGAAGGCCAGTGCTAAGGTGGCAAGAGAGCTCTGCTCTCTGGGTGGGTACTACCTCACTTCTCCTGGCCCCTGGCGGCCCTGAAGCCCCTTGGCTCGTGGAGGCTGAGCGCTAAATTCTGCCTGTCTCCACATGGCTTCTCTTTTTCCTGTTCTTTCTTTTCTTTCTTTTAGAACAGTGGTCATAGGATGTAGAGCCCATCTCCATCATTCAGCTCTTGAGACCATGAATTTACTCTCTAAATACATTTTTTTCCTAAGTAAGATCATAATATTCACAGAGCTCAGAAATTAGAACACAGGGACCACCCATCAGCAGCACAGGATCACTTATTCTCTTGGGGTCAGTTCTGAAAGTCAGCTAACTCACCTGTTCAACAAATGCTCACTGTGTGTGTCCAGCCCTCTGTACAAGACTAGGGAATGAACTTCTGCTCTCTCCCCAAATAGCTGCACACTCCTATGGGAATCCAGTAAGGGAGCAAACATTACGACACAGCACTGAGAGAACTGAGGGGAGCCCAGCATCAAGGCGGCTGAGAAAAGAGTTGAGAGGCGGCTTACACAGTGGAAATGACATGTAATGGGGCATTAAGGGGTCTGTAAGGATTCCCAGGCAGGGATGGAAAGAGCAAAGGATCTTCCCACAAAAAGAGCAGGATCCACTCTTTCTGAGAGTATTTGCTGTAGTTCAGCTCAGTGCAAGCAAAGTCATGGATGCTAGAAATGCAGACCCAAGTAGCAGTGTATCTCAGACTCCTCAGCAGAACTGGAACTCATAAGAGCTGGGGGGAACTCCAATTGCCTGCTACTTGCCACATTATCAGTAAAAATGATGTCGGGTGTTATTATATAGTAAGTGTTCGATAAACTCTGCCATTACTTTCATATGTCCTATTGGATTCCTTTTTAAGATTTATTTGTTTTTATTGGAAAGGCGGATCTACAAAGAGGAGGAGAGGCAAAGAGGAGGAGAGACAGAGGAAGATCTTTTGTCCGATGGTTCACTCCCCAAGTGAGCACAACGGCTGGAGCTGAGCCGATCTGAAGCCAGGAGCTCTTCCAGGTCTCCCACATGGGTGCAGAGCCCAAGGACTTGGGCCATCCTCAACTGCTTTCCCAGGCCAGAAGCAGGGAGCTGGATGGGAAACAGGGTGGCTGGGATTAGAACCAGTGCCCATATGGGATGCCAGTGCATGCAAGGCGAGGACTTTAACTACTAGGCTATCACACAGGATTCTAAAAACTTTTATATGGATATTGTTTCACAAAATGTTCATTTGTTTCAACACAAAACTTGAAATTCCTTGGAATAAAATCACTGTTATATGTATACAGTGTTATATGTCACTCAGGGAACTATGTATCCAAATTTAGAGAATATAGATTATAAGGTAGCCAAATGTGACATGCATGAAATAAAAGATCAGGTGGTAACACAGTGGCAAACTTTTCAGGGACTGTTGAGAAATGTTATAGAAAATGTCTCAAAGTTTTACAGGATGGTTAGCAGGAATTCTTTTTTTTTTTTTTTTTTTTTTTTTTTTAGGTATAGACAGAGACGTTTTATTTGTGAAGTGAGCAAATTAACACAAAAAGAAACAAGTCGAAGCATCTCCTAGGAGAGATCTGAGAGCTGGGGTGTCTCCTGAAAGGACACAGAGAAAGACTTCCTGAGGGAGAAAGAACAGCATGAGCACAGCTGGCCACCACAACATCACAGTTTAACACAGCTCACACAAAGGCTACAGGGGAGAGTGGCCAAAAAGCTGCAGGAAAAAGATAACGCTGACCAAGACATAGCAGACCAGCAGGCACCAGTATGGTCGGGTAGAGAGTAAAGCCACCACCTATGATAGCAGCATCCCCAATGGGGGCCGGTTCGTGTCTTGCCTGCTCCACTTGCAATCCTGCTCCCTGATAATGAAGCCAGGGAAAGCAGCGTAGGATGGCCCAAGTTCTCAGTCCTCTGCCATCCACATGGGAGACTGAGAAGAAGTACCTGGTCCTTGGCTCCTGGCTCCTGGCTCCTGGCTCCTGGTTCCTGGTTCCTGGCTCCTGGGTTTGGCCTGGACCAGCCCCAATCCTTGTGGCCATTTGAGGAGTAAAGCAACTGGTGGAAAAGCTCTCTCTTTCATCTCTCCCACTCTAATTTTGCCTTTCAATTAAAAAATTTCTTTTTGAACAAATAAAAAAAAATTCTTTTTGAAAAAAGAAGATAGTTTAGACAGCCTGAGAGGTAGCATAGCAGGGACAAGCCAGCAAGAGTATGACCCTTGCAGGAGGCTAAGTAAGGATCAGATAACCAAGAAGAGGCCATTTCCAAAGGGCCTTGCACACCCAGCAAACCAGAAAGGCAGGTCCCAGAGCAGCTTGTCTCCTCTCCTAATCCCCCAAGGCCACTTGCTCCAAAATGCCTCTGGAAGCAGCACCTGCTCCTCAGGGCTCCCACGGTGGCTGCCTGACCTTCCCTGACCCATATACCTGCACACCTTGTCAGGTGCCGAGTGCTGTGTACTTGTCTCTCCCACTCTGCAGTGTGGTGAGTCCCCAGCACCCTGTACAGAGGTCAGGGTGCATGCGCTTCAGCAACCCAGTGACACCAATAAGTGAATGGAGAAATGACTCAGAAAGGGAATGTGTGGATACTGCAGGGTCCTCTGGCCCTAGAGAGAGGGCGCAAACTTATCCAAGGTCACGCGAATTGTGTAGCAAAGCAGAGACAGAGACACAGGCTCCTGTCCTCAGGACCAGCAATCTTTGCCAGTGTGGGCCAAGGGGGAGTTCAAGAATGGATGGGCCAGGAATAGAGCTATTCACCGAATGCAACATAGGTGACCCTGGGCACTGAGTTGGTGGTGGCTACCCGAGAAGGTGTCCTTGGAATTGGCCTTGCGGTGAGGCCTGAGGAGTTCACTAGGCAAAGGCCAGTGACAGCTGGAGAAGCAGTTTGACCAGAAGGAACAGAAGGGGCAGGCTGAGGAAGGAGCTAGCTGAGTAGGCAAGGGCAGCCGTGCTCTGCAAGGGAGGAGAAACGAGGTGGACATTTCTGAAGGAAATTGGTATTTCAAAGAACAATGTAGGGCCAGACATTTGATGCAACAACTAAGTCGCTGCCTGTGACACCCACATCCCCCATCGGAGTGCCTGGGTTCAAGTCTTGGCTCCACTCTCCCTTGCACCTTCTGCTAATGAGCACCCTGGGGGAAGGGAGTGATGTTCAATTATGTGGGCCCAGCCCACCATGTGGGA